AAGAGAAAGTAGCTTTATTTATGTAGTGCTGGATAAGCACCCAGGAGAAATCTTCCTCAGATATGACTCCTTAAAGTAAGTGTGAGTTACAGTTTTATGAGGTTCAAAAAGGGAAGTTATACATATTCATTTAAGTTCTAGGAGATCTCAGGGGACATCATACACAATTGGCACAAGATAATACATAAAAATCTTTAATACATAAAAGTCTTGTTCTACATCCCACTTTGGTGAGTAGCGGATAGGGTCTTAAAAAGCTTTTGAGTTGCCATCTAAGATGCAACTATTGGTCTCCTCTTGTCTGGAGAAAAGAAGAGTGAAGAAAATCAAAGTCATCTGGAAACAATTAGTCCAAAGATATGATGGACCACGAGGACCTCAACCTTCATGACCCTGAGACCAGAAGAACTAGACGATGCCCAGCTACCAATGCCAACCATTCAGAAAGGGATCAGAATTAGAGATCATGGATAGAGTGGGAGGAAAAGTGTGAAACAAAGTTTAAAAACACAAAAATGACCAGAATTACAGGTCAGATTAAGACTGGTGGAACACCTGAAACTATGGCCCTGGGTTATCCTTCAGGCCTGGAAATGGACTTACTTCCATGGATTGGCTCTCAGCCCAATAGTAGAAAGACCTATAAGCAGAACACCTACCCCAGGGAGATACACCCACCTACTCTAGGCAGATGCATCCCTTAGATCCATCAGCACATAACAACAACAACAACAAAGTCAGACAGGCTCTACTATTAATCACACTTCTATATATAAAGAGAGAAAGAGATATAAAAATGTTATACTATTATAAAATTTTACCTGAGTGATTAATTTAAAATAAAGTTTAGGTTTACAGAAAATTTGTGCAGAAAGTACAGAGAGTTCTATATATCTTCTTGCTGCACACTGTTCTCCTATTATTATATTTTGCATTCCAATGGGATATTTGTTAAAGTTGATGACGCAATATTGACTCATTAACTAAAGTCTATCATTTACTATAGTGTTCACTCTTTATATTGTACATTTCTAAGTTTTGACAAATTCATAAAGTCCTGTGTTCACCATTACAGTGTTATACAGAATAGTTTCACTGCCCTAAAAAATGCCCTGTGCTTCATATATTCATGTTTTTTCTTTCCCCCTGACAATCACTGATATTTTTACTGTCTATAGTTTTGTCTTTCTAGAATGTCATATACAGTGAAACTTGTGAGATCTGAAACTTGACAGGACTGCCTTATTTTTCCAGGTCTCACAAGTTTGCCACCTTTGACAGGGTGCAATCTTACCACTTTTCCATCACTCGTTTTAGTGTGGAGTATTTGAGTTTTCCTTCTCTGACAGGTCTCTACCTTAAACAGGCTCCAGCTTTCATAGATTTTACTCTAATTGGAATCATACAGTGGTGGTTAAGTTTGTGTGTCAACTTGGTTGGACCTGGTTGAGTGGCTGGGCAGCAGTGGTAGTTATTCCCCATGATGAGACTGGCAGTCAACTCCATGGTGGGATCTACCACGAGCAGCTGAGTAGCTGCCTTTGGGTATGTGGTCTGCTTCCCATATATAAGAAACAGCTTTGGGAATGGCAAGCTTGAACCCTGCATGTAGCCGTGTTGTTGTTCAGCAGCCTTTGGGACTTTCAACGGACTTGAATTAATGGCCTACTGTGTGGTTTGGTAACATCAGGACTGTGCCATTTTATTTGTCAACCTTGGGCTTGTCAGTCTCAGCAGCCAGTAGCTGCCTGAGTGAAGAGATGCCTCCAGCTTCAGTGGGCTAAGAGCAAGAGGCAGGGCTGAAGCCGAAGGTCACCCAGCCCCTAGAGCCTGGCACTTGAAACGGACTTCTAGCCTCTCGAACTGTAAGAGAATAAACTTCTGTTTGTTCAAGCCATCCCATTTGTGGTATATTCCTGTTAGAGCGACACTAGGTAACTAGAACACATACATACTGGCTTATTTCATTTAGCAAAATGCTTTCTGTGGTTTCATAGCACATTTCTTTTTATCACTGAATAATACTCCATTGTATGGATGTACTACAGTTTTTTTTTTTTTTTTTCCTTCTCTATTCACCCATTGAAGGATATCTTCATTGCTTCTGATTTTTTACAATTATAAATAAAACTGTTATAAAGATTCATGGGGAAGTTTTTATGTGGACATACATTTTCAACTCATTTTGGTAAATTAGGAAAGTAATTGCAAGATTGTTTTGGTAAGCTTATATTTAGTTTTATAAGAAACTGCCACACTATCTTCCAAAGTGGCTGTGCCATTTTGTGTTCCCACTAGCAAGGAATGAGAGTTACAATTACTCCACATCCTTGTCAGCATTTAGTGTTGTCAGTGTTTTGGTTTTGGCCATTCTAATAGGTGAGAAGTGGTATATCATTATTGTTTTAATTTATAATGCCCTAAGCAAGGATTAAGAAGCTCTGGTGGTGTAGTACTTGAGTGCTAAAACCCACCAGCCACTCTGTGGAAGGAAGACAGGGCAAATCTACTTCCATATAGATTTACTGCCTTGGAAACCCAAAGGGGGTCACTATGAGTTAGAATTGATGGCAGTGAGTTTGGTTTGGTTTTGGTAAGCAAGGATTGTGAGGCTGACACAGGACTGGGCAGTGTTTCGTTCTATTGTACATAGGGTCACTATGAATCAGGGCCAATGCTACCACACCTAACAACAATGACATTGATGATGAACATTTTTTTCACACACTTGTCAACTGTTTATCTTCTTTGATGAGGTTTCTGTCCAAATTTTTTGCCCACTTTGTAATTAATTGGGTTGTTTGTTTTCTCATTGTTGTGCTTTAAGAGTTCTTTTTATATTTTGGATACAAATTCTTTATCAGATATGTGCTGTGAAAGTACTTTCTCCAAGGGTGTGGTTTGTCTTCACTATCTTAACGGTATCTTTCGCAGAGCAGAAGTTTTTCTTTTTAATGAAATCTCATTTATTTATTTATTTAAAAGTTATGCTTTTGGTGTTGTATCTGGTAGCACAGTGCCTAAGGCACTTGACTGCTAACCAGAAGGCTGGCGGTTCAAACCCATCAACCACTCCTTGGAAGGAAGATGAGACAATCTACTTCCATAGTGATACTGCCTCGGAAACACAAGGAGGGGTTGCTGTGAGTCGGGTCTGACTTGATGGCACATAACAACAACAACATCAACAAACCTAAGGTTACCTAGATTTTCTGCTATTAACATAGGAGAAACTTCTATAAGTTTTATGGTTTTGCATCTTATATTTAGGTCTATGATCCATTTTAAGTAAATTTTTTTGAAAGATGTTAGCTCTGTGTCTATATTCATTTTCTTGCATGTGGATATCAAGTTTTTTCCAGACCATCTGTTGAAAAGATTATCTTTTCTCCATTAAATTGCTGTTGCTTTTTGTCAAAAATCAGTTGACTACATATGTGTGGGTCTAACTCTGGGTTCTTTGTTTTGTTTTATGATCTATTTTGTCTATTTCTTCACCAATGCCACACTGTCTTGATTTCTTTAGCTTGAAGCCACATAGTGTCAATCCTCCAATTTTATTCTTTGTCAGTATTATGTTGGCTATTCTGAGTCTTTTGCCTTTCCATGTAATCTTTAGAATCAGATTGTTGATGTCCATGGAATTTTGATTGAGGTTGCATTGAGTCTACAGATCAAATTGAAAAGAATTAACATCTTAATAATATTAAGTCTTCCTATTCATGAGGATGGAATATTTATTTAGGTCTTTGATTTCTTTCATCAGAGTTCTGTAGTTTTCTTCATATACATCTTGTACATACTTTGTTAGATTTATGCCTGTTTGTTTGTTGTTATTGCTGTTGGTGATGGTACTAATGTAAAGGATGTTGTATTTAATTTCAAATTTCAATTGTTCATTGCTGGTATATAGGAAAAAAAATTGACTTTCTATATTTACTTTGTATCCTGCTACCTTGCTTATTAGTTCCAGGAGTTATTTTTTTGTCAATTCTTTAAAATTTTCTACACAGACAAACTTATCATCTGAGAGTAAAAACAATTTTATTTCTCCTTTCTTGATTGGTATACCTTGTATTTCCTTTCTTTGTCTTATTGCACAAACTAGAACTTTAAGTATAATGTTGAATGGAAGTACCTACCACAAGAGAGAATTGTTGTCCTGTTCCAGATCTCAGGGGAAAAGCATCTAGTTTCTCAACATTGAGTATGATGTTAGCTGTAGGGTTTTGTAGATATTCTTTACCAAGGTAAACATGTTCCCCTCTATTCTTAGTTTGCTGAGAATTTTTATTATGAATGTCTCTAATGCTTTTTATGCATCTATTGATATGATCATATGATTTGTCTTCTTTGGCATGTTGATATGATAAGCTATATTGATTGGTTTTCCAATGTTGAGCCAGGCTTGCATACCTAGAATAAATCTAATGTGGTCATGGTATATAATTCTTTTCATACTTTGTTGGATTCTAAATGCATTTATTTGAAAGAAAAAAGTTGGGTGAGTTGGGAGTGGGAATTTATTTCATCCCTAGCACAAGTCTGTTGTGTGTGCATTCCTAATTTCATTTTAAGATGAAGAACTTGAAGCCTGTGGAAGTTACACTCATAAATGGTAGAGCCAAGATTCAAACCCACACCCTCTCCTCTGATTCCTCACCAGGATCCAAAACAAGGGTGGAAATCCTAAGTGCATGACTGATGCCCACTCTGCATAGATATGGTGATGGTCTATTTGATCAGAGGATGGCATTGATGAGCTTCTCAGGAGGTTGAGGGATATGGGGTCTGGATTTGGCAGGATGTTTCCATAGGTGATGTGACCTATCAGAGACTTTAGGTCTGTCCAAGACACAGTGCCATGGCAGCCTTTCAAATATAGAAATACAGGGGAAAAGGCCCTTTTCTCAGAGAAACGAGAGAGGCTCTGAGCCTTCTCCATCTTACTGGCTTGTTCTGTGGCAGTCCTCAGGTTAACAAAGTTCTCATTCTTGTAGGAAATAGTGAAAAACCCAGAATTCATTCTTGGAGGGGCCACCAGGATGGATATCTGCCAGGGGGAGCTTGGTAAGTGGTTGGAGGGGAAAGAGTGGAGAGTAAGTTTGATAGATGCTACCCCATTGGGACAGGACAAGGATCACCTGGAAGGGTCAGCAGTAGCATCTCTGGGTCCCTGGAGGAGGCACAGGGTAGGTAGGAATGCCACTCTCCTTCCTTCTTCTTCCTTCCCATCCTCGAAACTCACTGGGCTGTTCCCTTTGAATGGGCCCCTTGGATTCTAAGGCTCTTGCAATCACAGTCCTCTGGTGACAGTGCATATGTGCTCTTAGACTAAGCTCACAGCCCAGGAGTTCATGAGAACAATGACCCCAGCAGTATTGGACCAGCACTCTCATACATGGTAACTATAGCCAACACGTCCAAATATTCATTGAGTTGCCAGCTAGGCTTGCTTCTCAGCACTCCAACACAATCTCCAGCCATCCTCCTAATTTTACAGATGAGAAGACCATGGTAAAGTCATAGACACCTTCAGCCTGTGTCGGTCTCCTGTGGAGTCTACCAGAAGCTGTACTAGAGACTCCAAAGGACAGCTGACACATTAGAAACAAAACTGTGATTTTGCCAAGGGTGGGGTGCTTGTGCCCCACTGCACCCAGGAAAGCCAGAAACAAAGCAATCTAGTAGTAGCTTTCATGATGAGCACTCAGTGATTCTCTTTCATTTGTGTGCAGCAACCAGAAAGGAGCCGTATTACAATATCCAGCATCCAGGGAGTACACCAGAACATGGTAAACAATTTTGTCCAGAAATGTGAACTTTGAGGAAGCCAGACTGTGGTGTGATGGAGCCTTGAGTTCTAATGACATTATTGTTATCCTCTAAAAACAAAGACTTCTGGAAGGAGAAAACTGAGAGTTTGTCTGATAAATGGACACCTCCAAATATCTGCTCACATATATTCCAGCAGCAGCACCTGCAGCACTGCTAGGCATGTTCAAGGCACTCAGGCCATTTTCAGTGAAGGCTGATGTGCATCAGTGTCATTCTTTTTAGTCTTCCTCCAGATGTGTATTAACAGGAAGACAGGGAATTCCATGACTAAATCAACAAATCTTGAAAATGCAAAATAATAGAAAGCAAGTACCCACTGAGCTACCTTTATCTATCACTAAACTACTTGGGGTGGTGAGGAAGCATCAGCCCCAGAAAGTGCTCTCCAAGCACCATGGAGGGCTGTTTCTGAGCACACAGAAGTACTGCAGAACCTGCAGGGCAGCAGCTACGGTATGCCTACTCGTCTGCTCACCAACATATACAGCCATAGTACACAGAAAGGGAAATGGGTGGAATTTTAAAGAGCTGAAGCATAACAGAGCCCTGTGTTTGAAACACAAGTAAGCGTATCTGACAACATTACCAAGACTCACAGCTGCTTGTGATAAACTGGAAGGAGTAGTGCAGGGAAGGGAGGCAGAGAGGAGGACAGAGGTTCACATTCCATCAGTTTAAAAAAAAAATTGCAGAAAAGCTGTGAGCACATCTGAAACTCCCTATATCTCTTTCTGGCATAAATTTTTCCCATTTATTGTGAATCAGTGGTGAAAAGGGTAGCTCATGGTTTTCATTTTGCAGGAGACTGCTGGCTATTGGCTGCCATTGCTTCCCTTACGCTAAATGAAAAGGCACTGGCTAGAGTCATCCCCCAGGACCAAAGCTTTGGCCCTGAGTATGCTGGCATATTCCATTTCCAGGTAAGAAGGAACCCTGGTCCAGCAGAGTTACCTCTTTGGGGCCCAGCACAATGCCAGGGGCATCTTTATGCTGGTTGGTGACCATATCTGCCAGTGTAAGAGCTCTGATTCTTAAAACATTACTTAAAAATCAAACTTTGTGATGGAATATCTAAATGCATTGGAAGAGTATTAAAGACATCTCATAGTGAATCCTTTTGTAAAGTATACAATAAACCATTAAATAACATTTTGGCAAATCTGATGTCCATATGTTAAAGGTTTCATTATTTGGAATTTCTTGTGCTTTAAGCATACATTGCCTAAAAACAATCATACCTCTGGTGAACTGGATTATTTCTCATAAACTGAGAGATTCTCTTTACTGAAGAGATATAAATTTGGAGACATTACGTAAGTTTTTAAAAAAACAAACTAGCGATCTACTGGGACATGTGCTTGGATAGTGTTGGGGGAGATTGACCACCACACCTCTGGGTGACACACAGCAGGCGAGGCTGCCCTGGGAGATTTGTTCCCTGTGTTCTCATCTCCCCCTTCCATACTCTCTTCTCTATCAAGTCCTCATATAGAGGCTAACTTCAAATGGAAACACATCTCTTCTATGAACTCAAACAGGGGACCTCAGATTGTTTTCTTGGTGAAACTGAGCCTTAGTACACTCACCTGAAAACAGAGAGACTAGCACTACCTCATGGGATTTTCATAAGAACTGAGTGAGATACCACATAAAGTGGTAAGACAGAACCAGGCATGAAATAAGAGTTACTTACCTTCCACCCCACCACTTTCTCCTTCTCCCTTCAGGACACCATGTGTGAGTTCAACCATGGCCTTTCCTGTCACTGAGGCCAGCAATCTGATAAACTGATGTACACCCCAGACTCAATAACTGATTGTTATGGATTGAATTGTGCCCACCCTCCACTCCACCCCAAAATATGTATTGGAATTCTAATACCTATACCTGTGGGTATAATCCTGTTTAGAAATAGGTTTCCTTTGTTATGCTAATTATATCATACCTAAGTGGGTGGGTTCTAAAGCTAATCATGCCTGAGTTATAAAAATAGCAGATTAGGCACAGAGTCACACACAGGGGAGAAGGCAAATGCCATGTGAGCATCATCTCTAAGCCAAGGACCCAGGACTATCAAGACCCTGATTTGGTCTTTCGGTCCCTAGAACTGTGAGAAAATAAATTTCTGCCCTTTAAACCCACCCACATGTGGTGTTTTGTTATAGCCTCACTAAGAAACTAAGGCTAATAGACATATTTCAAAAGTAGAGATCAAAAGAAGCAATGTGTAACTTGAGAATTCAATCTCCATTCACAGGGGCCAGCTCACAGGATTGATCCTGTGATCTGAGCTGCTTCTCAGAACACAGGTATGTGGGTGCTAGGGGCTGCCAGAGTCCCTCTCTCCAGCCACCTTGGGCCACTGCTCCAACCTCAACTTGCCAGCTGGATGCTGCTGTAAGCAGTAAACACTCCTCCCTCAATCTCTTCCTTGCTTCAGGAAGCTGGAGGCCAGGTATGGACATTCAACACCTGTCCAATTAGAGGCTCCACCTATGGAAAACCAAACCAAACCCACTGTCACGGAGTCAATTCCAACTGAGAGTGACCCTATATAACAGAGTAGAAATGCCTCATAAGGTTTCCAAGGCTGTGACCTTTACAGAAGCAAACTGCCACACCTTTTTCCTGTGGGCCAGCTGGTGGGTTCAAACTGCCAGCCTTTGGGTTAGCACTTTAACCACTCTGTTGCCAGAGCTCCTCACCTACAGGCAAGGAGAGAGCTAAAGTTTAAAAAACAGAGAACCGGACTCCACACCACCACCACCACCACACATACACACACACACACACACACACAAAGGAAGAAGAAGAAAGAAAGAAAAGAAGAAACAAAGCTAATTGGAGGTGTTTTAAAGTGTCCTAAAACTGAATCTTTGGACCAGTGTTGATCACAGGCTTAGTGGGTGAAAGCTAAGTGGTCCCATAGTGGAACCTGTAGTTGTTTCCTATGGTCACTGTAACAAATTGCAACAACCTGGGTGGCTTGAAAAATTAGAAATGCATTTTCTCACAGTTCTGGAGTCCAAATCCAAGGTGTTGGCTGGGCCATGCTTCTGACAGATCTGGGGGGAAAAAAGCTTTCCTTGTCTCTGAGATTGCTGGCAAACTTTGGTGTTCCTTGGCTTATAGATGCATCACTCCAAACTCTGCTTCCTTCTTCACATGGCATCTTTCCTCTTTATCTGTGTCTTTGTGTCCAAATTTTCCACTTTTTATAATCATTGAATTAGGGCCCAGTCTAAGCCAACATGGCCTCATTTTAATAGATAGATCTGCAAAGACCCTTTTCCAAATAAAGTCACATTCACAGATACCAGGGGTTAGAAGTTGACCGTATATTTTTGGAGGACACAGTTCTACCCACTACAGAAGCCACATGGGATTTTCCTCAAGACCAGAAGGGCATTTTGGTCAGGGCCAAATAGTCAACATTTACAAATGAGAGCCAGACTTCAAATGTGACTCACTCCCAATTTCTGTTCATATTCTGGGCACAGTTCTGGCAGCACAGTGAATGGGTGGATATAGTGGTTGATGACCGACTGCCCACCTTCCGGGACCGCTTGGTTTTCCTTCACTCTGCAGACCACAACGAGTTCTGGAGCGCCTTGCTGGAAAAAGCCTATGCCAAGTGAGTGTCGGTGCCCCTGAGCAGGGAAGCCCCCTGTGTCAGGAAGCCTGTTTTGAATTCCCAAGAGAACTCTTCATGGGTCTTCTATGGAGAGAAGGCTTATGATATCAGGGGAAGGAGATCAAGGCTCACGGCTTACCAGTGAGGCACAGCAAGCTCACTTTACTGGAGCTTTCTCAAACCCACAAGCCACTTCTCAGAAGGAAGGTTGAGCGATCTACTTCCATAGTGATACCACCTTGGAAACCCAAGGAGGGATTGCTATGGGTTGGATTGGACTCCACGGCAGTGAGATTGGTTTTGGTTTGTTTTCTCAGGGTTGAAGGTGGAAAAGGAGCCACCTGAGCAATTTTCTTCCTATAGTCCTAGATATGCCCCTTCCTTAGACATTTTTCTCTGTGTCATGAATCTAGCCTTGGGAAGACATGATGGAAGAAGAGCTGTAAGGATAAATGGAGGAAAATTCTGGATGTGCTGACAAAATTCTTGGTTTTTCAGACTTCTCCACCAAACACTATCATGGCCCAAACATCTGGGAAAGAAAAGGGACTTGATTCTCTCAATCTATATATAGCTAACACTTTCATGGTCAGGCCCCATTCCAAGTGAGAGTATACAGAGAGACACATTCATTTAAACCATAGCAGTCCTAGGAAGGACAGTACAATTGTTATCTTCAGCTTACAAATAAGGAAACTGAGGCACAGAGCCAGCAACTCAGCCCAAGGTCAAACAGCTATAATGGTGGAACTGACGTTTAACCAGACCTTGTACTCTTTACCACCACCACATCATACTGACTCTTAGCATTTCCTCAGATCTCAGTCCCCGTGTGCCATCTCCCACACCTCCCTTTAAGTCCACATCTAGTTCTGGCTTAGAACAGGGAAAAACTCTGTATTCTTTCCTGCCCTGATGACTGAGGGGTGCCCCCTCATTGTTCTCTTGTTCTGCAGCAGTATCCTTGCTTTCTTACTGCCCTCACAGGCTCAATGGGAGCTATGAGGCTCTGAAGGGGGGAAGCGCCATTGAGGCCATGGAAGACTTCACTGGGGGTGTAGCAGAGACTTTTGAAACTAAAGGGGCTCCAGAGAACTTCTATGAGATTCTAGAGAAGGCCTTGAAGAGGGGCTCTTTGGTGGGCTGCTCCATTGACGTAAGTTTCTTGCTTACATCCTCACTCACCAAGCTCTACATTCCAGGCACTGTGCTAGGACCAAAGATCTGAGAAGGTACCCTGGCCACACAGAAGGAGGGGAGTAACTCTGTGTATGTCTGTGGGGTAGTATCAATGTTTATTTTAATCCCACCCGTAACTGCCTGGTATGTATCCCTTCGCTTTTTCCTTGCCTATACAAGCATTCACAAGTATATATATATACATACACAAAAATGGATGGATTGGATTAAAATGGAATCATAATATACATTTTTCTAAAACTACCTTTTTCACTTAATATATAATGAAAAAAAAATGTCAGTACATAGAAATGTATTATTTCTCATTTTTATTCATATAAACATAATTTCAACTCATATATTTTTAAAAATCTATCTGAGTTTTCTACTTCCTCTTGGATTAATTTTGGGAATTTATTCTTTAGTAATAAAGCATCAATTTCCTCTACATTTTCAAATTTGTGACATCAAGTTGTACGTACTATCGTTATATGCTTTTTATAATCTCTTCAGTATATGTGACTGTATATTCCCTCTCATGGTACTTGACACTGATGGCCATATTATTCTGTTTGGGGCAATTTAAAAAAAAAAAAAATCAATCTTTATTATAGTCTCCCCATCCTCGGGAGAGACTGAGACTTTCTGTATTTTACTGCTAAGCATCTTCAGGGCTTCTTGTTTAGCCAAGTTCTGTTCTCTATACACATGAGCCTCATCAGGACAGCAGGATGAGAGGTTGGGGAAGTATGGAGGGGCCAGGCACAGAGTGGATCTGTCAGGGCAGGGACAATTCAACTTGGACTATGTATCCAGTGTTGCTCTTTTCATATTTTAGACCAGATATGCTGCAGAATCAGAAGCCCGAACACCTTTCGGTCTTATTAAAGGTCATGCCTACACTGTTACAGGAATTGACCAGGTAGGTGATGAGAACCCTTGTTCACAGGGCCCTGATATGAGCATGATAACACTAGTCTCACTCTGGTGGGATAGTTGTTAAGGCATTCAGCTACTAACCAAAAAGTCAGCTGTTTGGGCCCATGAGGTGCTTCATGGGAGAAAGATGAGGCAGTCTGCTTCTGTAAAGATTTGCAGCCTTTGAAATCTTATGGGACTCACTGAGTCAGAATTGACTTGATGGCAGTGCATTTGGTTTAGGATATTTTTTTTTAAGAAACCTATTTAGTTCATTGCAAGTGAAACAGCACTGTCAGACAATGTCTCATTTTATGGAGGCAGGCTGGAATCCAAAATAGCAAAACATCCAGTGCCAAACTTTTAAGCAGGTGTGGGGAGCCTGGTATTCCCCCCCCCCCCATTCTACATCAACCCCATTCTCTGCAGTCCAGGATGGAACTAATTTCTGGGGATAATTAGAACCACACAGCACCATCAACTTGGGAAAGAGAAAGGGGAAGATGAAATGAAACAGGGAGTGGAGAAACCAACAGCCTCCCTCTCAGAGAAAAGTCAGTGAAGCCAGAGCCTCTGTCTGTCCCCTCCTTGTTTCCCACAGGCCAGTAAAAAAAAATGCTGTGTGTCAAGGATGCAGGCCCTTTGGTCTCCTGCTGTTGCCCACATTTTGAATAACACACTCAAAATGAGGAGAGAGTGCAAGATAAAGAAGGAATGTGTTATTCTTCCTTCTCACTGGAGTTTCTAAGAAACAGGGTTCATGCTGAGAGATTCAATTATTTGAGTATTCCTTAGGAATTTCAGCTATTTGTGTTAGTTTTTTTGTCTTCCTTCCCTGATCATATAAGCCTTGCTGACAGCTCTTTGTGCTGAGCAGACGTGGTTTTTTCTATTAGAGCTTCTAAAAAGCAACAGTTGTTTCCACGTAGCACAGAAACTTCCCATCATCTCAGTTCTATTGCTCTTGCTTTCTCTTCACCTGCAAGACACTTACCTTTTCTGAGCATTTCAAATTTATGAACCTTTAAACGATGAATCACAAGCCTCACTTGGGACTCTGAGTGGTTATATTACCTGAACTATTTGTATAAAATAAAAAATATATAATTTATGCCAAATTCATGAAGGATAACGTGTTCTCACAAGCTAAAAGTTCAACTCACTTTCTGCCAAAATGTTCCTAAAATGGCTGATCCTCTTTCCCGCTCAAAGACAGAGCATTAAGTGAATGCTGGCCCTTCCCTTACTGGCCAGTACCCTGAATGTTTCAGGGTTACAGTCTGAATCAGTGACCACATGTGACACCTGAACCAGTTGCTGTCAAGTCAATTCCAATTTATAGCAATTTCATGTGTATACATAGCATTTCCAATGGCTGATTTTTCAGAAGTAGATTACCAGGCCTTTCTTCTGAGACACCTCTCAGTGGACTTGAACCTCCAAACTGAATGCACTAATCATTTTGCACCACCCAGGGACTCTATGACACATGAAGGGGAGAATGTTGGAATGAATCAAGTTGTAGAAACTATTTCTGCTTATTGTTGCTGTTGTTTAAACTACTGACATGTGCTTAAATTTTGATCATTCATCTGTGTGTAGGATGCTAAGAATTAAGAAAATTCAGCAATAATTCCACAAACATTTTTGATGATATTCTTTACCATTCATGTATGATGCTGAGAATAATAAGGCTCTGTCCCAGCCTCCAGGGAGATTCCAGTCTACAGAAAACCTTCATTTGTTTGAAGATTCATGTGGATTACATTCTTGCTAATTACATTATTTCCCAGATGTGGCATAACCATTCTGGGTGATTCATATGAGATCATTTGTAATGTTCATAATTATATTCAATTAGAATTAGAAAATTCCAAGTGCTGATTAAGAATTGATGAGTTTTACTTCCACTTCTGAGAGGATTAAGTGGGGTTAGAGGCTGCAGGGTTTTAGACAAGAGACTTGAGATAAAGCCATTCCTGGCCAAGCTTCCCCTTTGATGACTGCCCTGGGGCACATGTGGGAGCATAGCCAAGCCTCAGCTGCAGTGATCATTCCACATGTCTCTGATGCTTTGCCCTTCCAGGTAAACTTCCACGGCCAAAACATCAAGCTCATCAGAGTCCGGAATCCTTGGGGCCAGGTGGAGTGGAGTGGGGCGTGGAGCGACAGGTCAGTATCTTTGCCCCATCTCTGCTGCTTTCTGGGCAGGGGGCCAGGGCTGGCGGTGTGCAAACATGTGAAGGAGAAGCAATCTGTCTGTAGTTTGCCACTGGTTCTTAGTCAGGTTGTTTCTGCTTCTGGGGTGGCCTTACTTTCTCCCTTTCAGCCCTCAGGGCCTCCCATTCAGTCAAACTGGATCTCAAAAAAAGCTCTTATAAGAGCCTTTTAACTTTTCATATAATTGTGTTATTTCACATCCTTAGGGATATTTAATATGTTATGCCTTATCTATGATTGTGAAAGGTTTCATCTCATTAAATTGTGACTAGTTCTAGTAAGCAATGTACACACGTGTACATGTATGTGTAATGTGTACTTGTGTGTACGTGTGTGAGCAGGTAGGTGTGTAAGTATGCATGTGTGTGTGCATGCATGTGTATGTGTGTGAGTGTATGTTTTGTGTCAAGTAGGGTGGGGTGGCAATGAATATTTTGGGTGCGGGAATTCTTGAAACACTGATAAGCAGGATAACAATAGTATTCTCTCTGATGAACACTGATGGTTGGCCAGAGGCCTGGTGGCCCGCTAGAGAATTAGAGGAAGTAGAGCAGAAATTTGTCCTACTACAGGACACTTGTTTATGCGGCCCCCAATTACACCCACTCCTCACTTATCCATGTTCCAAAGACCAGGTCATTATGCAAAAGACAGTGTTATGCAAAAAATAGAGGATAATCACTTCAGATCACAAAATGCAGGATGGCTATATCATTACATAACTGCCAAATTACATCATTATTTAACTGTCAAACCACTGAGAATCATGGCCCAGCTCAGTTTCACACAATCTTAACCATTATAGCCAGCGTTATTCTTGCCTTACACCTTGACATTCATTACTGCCAGACATGCATTGTTAATGTGCAAAACAGTTGGCTAGCAGATTTTTTACTATTGTAAATGTGAAATGCCAAATAATTAGATCGTAGAAAAGTGGGTGAAAAAACCTCCTGGTCTCTTGTTTTTAGTAAGAATGGCTTTTTTCATCTCCACTTCCGTGTAGAAGGTGTGGTTCACCCTGTGACTGGGAACCTGGGGACAGTGCCTAACCTGAGTTGTCTCTCCTCCACTCCCTCCAGGCTCTCTGCCATCCTGGGCTCCTAGAAGTCCCTTCTCCACCGTTGGCTCATGAGGCTTTGGGGAAGGGAACCTTGAAGCAAGTCTAGAACAGAAGTAAAACAGCCAGCACTGTCCTCACTTCAGACAAAGTGACCAGGCCCCTCAGCATGCATGTATCAGACTCCAGCATTGGAGCAGAACCTGCTTATCCTCATTGTCCTTACTCTGGTCCCATCCTCCCTCTCCCACTTCCTGGCATCTGCTGCTCAGAACAAAGGGCATAGGGAGACATATGGAGACAAACATTAAAGTAGAGACTAAGTTGGTCAAAATTAAGGAGGCTTCTTCATATTGTAATAAAACCTGTAGAATTCCCTGGTTTAAACAAAGCATTCTGTACAAGAAAAAGGACCATGTTTCCATCTCCTGGGTAATACAAAGAAGCACGAATAAAGATAGTGCATTTTTACTGGAAGCAAGTTTGTCTTCCCCTCACAACCAGTACCCAGAGTGGTGATAGCTGGTCCCTATGCTGACTCCTCAGTCTGGCCACACTGCCTGGGCCATGAGAATAGTTAGAGGTCTTTATGTGAGCCATTTAGAAAGTAAGGGCTCTTAATTTTACTCTACCCACTCTGGCACTAGTGACCTGGAGAGATGGCTTCCTAAGTTCATTACCTGTATTTCCTGCTCCCTCTCTCTAAAGTTAATTCAGGATCTACAGCATGTAGCCAAAGTAGCCACCCAATTATAACATGATAGTAAACCAAGCCACATGCAGTCAAGTTGAGTCCCACACATGGCAACTCCATATGGGTCAGAGTAGAATGTGCTCCATGGGGTTTTTTAATGGATGATTTTTCAGAAGTACATCATGAGGCCTTTCTTCTGAGACACTTTTAAGGGGACTCAAACTTCCAGCATTTCAGTTAAAAGTTGAGTGCTTAACCATTTTCACCACCTAGGAACTCCATAACATGATAGTGGTGATTACTTCATTTGAACTCTGTGGGCAGCTGTGGGGTAGTAGAACACCCACTGAACTTGGAGTCAGAACTTCTGAGCTTGAGGGACAACTGATAGCCCCTCACTATTTCTTCCCTATGAACATGTCACCTGGACAGTGTGGGTGTTCTCATCTGAGGAGTGGGCATGTCCCCTGACTTGTCTGAGTCTCCTCATCTGTGCAGTGGACATGTCATCTCATCTGTCTGAATGCCCTTAATTTTGGAGTGGGCATGTCTACTTCACAGAACTGTGAAATGAGTTCATAATGAAGTCATGCACATTAAAAGAATGGGCAAATGCAAGGTACAGTATTATTCAACAGCACTGAGTTTGGTTTGGTTTGGTATTATGAACACTTTTCAAAGTGTCAGCTTATAAACTAAAAAGAGCTGTCACTTGGTTTGTCCCACATCAAAGATCAAGTTGATGGCAAACAAAGGACTGAAATTAACCAACTGGTGGCCTCCAGTGGTGCTCTTTCCATTACCCAACTGATGTTCCATTCTTATGATGATTTTCTGTGTTGGAGGTTCAAATGATTCTCTGACATTTTTTTCCTCAGCACTGAATTGCTGACTCAGAGATGGACTTTCTGTTCAATCCTTGTATTTTAGGACCAAGAGCCAACTGATCTCTACATATCTTGCACATTTCTGGAGCCTAGAGCATAGTCACTGAGCAGGACTATTTTATACATAACAAACACGTGCCTTGAACTCCTCTTTTGGGGCTCATCCACCACAAGGGTTGTTTGAGTTGCTGTTCACAATCCTCTTCCTAAATACTGACTTTGTTCACTTATAGCTCCCCTGAGTGGCGTTCCATTGGCCCAGCAGAGCAGAAGCACCTCTGTCACACCGCTCTCGATGATGGGGAATTCTGGTACAGTGCTTGTCTCTCTTTTTATTATTGCATTAATAGTGTAACAGGTATGAATGTGCTTCATGACCATTTTATAAAACTCAAATACATCTGTCTAAAACACTTCATATTCAGATTGGCTGGAATTTAACCTCAGTCATGTTTTGAGAGAACTCACTCCATTTCTGGGTTTGTCTGAGTCCCAAGGGAGTTAGTGCAATCCAGAAAAGAGTAGATATGGGGAAGAAGCTCTGGTCCCAGCCCTGCATGTCACCTCTGAGCTATTCATCTCAAGTGACTTTGAGGACAAGTAGCTCTGCTGCTCATCATGTCTACTCCTTGCATCCCCAGCTGGATGACAAGGACCTTTAGAGGTGCTATTTGAGAGCATCTAAAAGAATAAACCTAATTGGGAAGAAAACATTTCTAATCTGGTCTTTCCATGGGGATGAATGTCTTTGTTTAACTGAAAATTCTTAGTGGACCTTTGTCTCTGGAAGCTTTTTTTTTTTTTTTTCCTGTCTTATTTCTTGTAGCTTAGATAACAAATTTCTGGTTTCTAGCTCAATTTCCTTTCATGCTCTCAAAGCAGTCAATGCTAGCCTGAGTTCATCTCTTTCTTGTAACACCTTGTTGAAGCCAATAAGCAAAACTGGGATTCATGGGCCAAGTGCTGGTAGAAATGCAACCATACTCAACATTCTGTGTTATTTGCTTCTTAATGCAAAACATCATTTGTTTCCTTCCATTTGTGTGGATCATTGAACACTTTGATATTAAAAAATATATTTTTCTGGGGAAAAAAAATAGTACACACTAATATTCCAGCTTTTTCTACTCTTCTCCCCTGAAGCACAACCTCAGTAGGCATTTGTTCTGTCTTCTAGATTTTTACAGGCGAAATTATCAAATATTTTGTCACTGCATAACAAGCATGGATATCCATTTTCTGGCTTCAATATTTCCTTGTTGCCTTCTGTTCAACTGCTAAGCTAATCTCACATATTTTAGAACTTTATTATGGCAGATCCATACTTCAAAGTACTGGTGGCTTAGGGTAACACCAGCTGCTATGAGTAACAAACTCAAAATGTATAAAGGCTCAAATACAATAAAGTTTATTTCTCCCTCATTGTAAGAATCTAAGGAAAATGTTCCTCTTCTCTGTGTGGCTCTCTCCAAGTAGTGATTTAGGTACTCAAGCTCCTTCCACTGTGTGGTCCCTCCATCCCCTAGGTCACACAGTCATCTGCATGTAGCCAATAGAAAAGGAAGAAAAGATAGGAGAAGATAGCCTGTTTCCTGAAAGCCTTGACCTAGAAGTAACACACATCACTGCTTACATCCACTGGGCACAGCTAATCACACAGTCACCTTTAGATGAAAGATGGAGAGTACTCCCTGCCCCCATTCTGGTAGATGAATTTCAGTGGCCTCCTAGCCATCTTTGACTTGGGAACCATGGAGGCCTAAGTGCCAAGACATTTGTGGAGACCCTTCAAGGTGCTTGAGAGATTCAACAACTATTGAAATGGAAATTAGAGACAAATTTACCTTCAACTTTGAGTACAGAGATGTTCTGGGTGACATCTGGATTCATAGTTAAAAGAACTCAGAGAAGAAAGCTGAGCTCAGGAATTTCTATCATCCCTGAAGTTGTGGAATATGAGCAGGAGGAAGAGCAAAGCATTGAGAAGCCATCTGAGGTCAGACTAGTGGAGGGTCTTGCAAACAGGAGTAGGACAGAGGAAAACAAGGAAATCCATGGAGTAAAAGACCCAGTTGAGGAGTCTGAGCTTTTGGGTGATCCATTGACCTGCCCACAGACACATCATTTGGCCTGAAAGGAGTTGTACCTAACACCTGCATCTGAGATTGCTTAAGCAGGGCACCATGTGAAGTTCATTAGCACTCTCTGAATGTAGCCTTTCCTTCAAGGATCTGACATATAAGCCCTTTCCAGTCAGTCTCCTTCCAGTTTCAGTTTCCACTCACTGTAGAATATATTCCTGCAATGCTATCTTCCTCCCTTATTTATTAATGTTGTCCTTTCTACTGAATCTTTTTCATTAACATACAAATGTTATGATTTCTCCCAACCACAAAGGAAAAAAGCTTTAATTGGCCACTTCAGCCACCAATCGATTTATCTCCTCTCTTCTACAGCAGAACTCACCAACACCTCTCATCCTTGCCTCTCCGACACGTTCCACTATGGCTTTTCCCTAAATTCCACTGAGACTACTCTTGCCAGTGTCACCCCTGACTCACTTTGCTAAATCTACTCATCTTGGTCTGTCCACAGCACTTGATATGGTTGGCACTGTCTTCCCTGGGTTGCAAGGGACTATACACACTCTTACGATTCTCCTCCTACATGAAGGCTCCTTCTCAATGTCCTTTCCTAGGTCCTCCTCATCTCTATAATCTCTTAATGTTGAAGTGCCATGTGCCTCGGTCCTTGTAATTCCCCTTCTTACCATCCACACCCACTCTTTAGGTGAGTTCATTCTAATCTCAGGACTTTAAATACCATCTTTACACAGATAACTTCCAGGTTTAAATTTTCAGGTCCTTTCCCTAGAATTCCAGATCCATATATTCTATTGCCTACACAACATCTCCCCTTGAATATTTAATTGACATCTCAATTTAGCATGCCCTAAACTGAACTCTTGAACAGCTCTTCCAATTGCTCCACCCACAGCCTTCTCCATTTCTACTCTTCCAGTTCCTCAAACCAAACATCTTAGAATCATCCTTGATTCCTTCCATTCTCTCTTTCTCCACATCCAATCCATCAGCAAATCTTATAGGTTATACCTTCAGAATATATCTAAAATCTGACCATTCTCACCATCTCCCCTGATCCCAGCCTGACCTGACTCATCCATCTCTCACCTAGACTATTGCATGAAGTTCCTAGTTTTCTCTCTGCTTCTACCTTTGCCCTATGAAGTCTATTCTCAACACAGTAGCCAGAAGGATCATGTTACTCCTCTGTTTCACACTTTCAGTGGCTCGCTATCTTCTCAAAATCAAAGCCAAAAATCATTAAGATGGCCTCCATGATCCTATATGACCTGAGCCACCACTGCTTCTGGATCATGTCTCTTACTGATGTCCTTCCGACTCTGTGCCAGTCTCACTGACCTACATGGGGTTCCATGAACACTTCATACAGATATCTGCCTCAGGACTTTTCTGTACATATGGCTGGATAACTCTTCCCCCAGATAGCTGTTTGACTAGTCCCTTGTGCTTTAGGTCTTCACTCAAAACTCATCCTATCAGTAAGGACTTTCCTTGCCCCCTATGTAAAATGGCCCCTTACACCCATATTACATTATTTTACCCTACTTTATTTTTCTCTGTAGCACTGATAATATACATAAAAACAAACCAAACTCACTGCTGTAGAGTTGAATCCAACTCATAGTGACCCCTCCTTGGGTTTCTGAGGCAATATCTCTGTGGAAGTAGATTGCCCTGTGTACCTTCCGAGGAGTAGCTGGTGGGTTTGAACTGCCAGCCTTCTGGTTAGCAGCCAAATGCCTTAGCCACTACACCATGCAGTCAACCTCTATTTTTACCTTTGCCTGTATGTGTATTTTCTGTCTCCCCACACTGGAATGTAAGCTCCATGAGGGCAGGAGAAGGCACTTGATAAATATCTGCTAGATAATTAAATAATGAATGAATCACATCATCACCATCACCCTCCCACATATTGTTTCCCTCCACGTGGTTGCAGGATGTCATTTAAGGATTTCAAGGCCCATTTTGACAAAGTGGAGATTTGCAGCCTCACTCCTGATGCCCTAGAAGATGATGCTGTCCACAAGTGGGAGGTGATGGTCCATCAAGGAAGCTGGGTTCGGGGCTCCACTGCTGGGGGCTGCCGCAATTTCCTGGGTTGGTATTCTGCTCACATTCTCTCTGCCATTCACAAGTGTCCAGTCCAACCAAGGACATCAAAGAGATCTATGACACAATAGAATCAGGACCATGACCATAAATAAAGCCAGAAATGTAGAGTGAGACAATATGATTTCAGGTATAACTGGGAAAAGAACGTTGTAGAGATATAATAGTTAGATAGGAATTGCTTAGGAAAACTTCCTTGTTTTGTTAGAAAATTACCCACTTCAGTTTATTGGACTATATAATTGAAAAGTTCAGAGGAGAAGTAGGTGGCCTTTAGGCACAGCTGTATCAGAGCTCTGGCTCCATTTGGTGATAATTCTCTGCTCCTCTCTCTTTCCAGTGTGGTTTCCTCAAAGTGATTTTCTTTATAATCACAGAAGGGCTGCCAGCAGCATCCAGGATGACCTGATCCTTTATTCCCATGCACTCACTGCCACTGAGTCAATTTTGACTCATAGCAACCTATAGGACAGAGTAGAACTGCTGCATAGGGTTTCCAAGGCTATAAATCTTTATGGAAGCAAAATGCCTCATCTTTCTCCATCAGAGCAGCTGGTAGATTGGAACCACAGACTTTTTAGTTAGCAGCCAAATGAAGTTTTCAACTTCCCTCTAATTGGAAAGCTCTTGACCCAATATAACCTGGGAAATGCTATGGGCTATTGGCTTTGTTCCAATTCTCTGTGGCAAGGGGAATTAGCATAGACCAATCAGAGTTCATCCTTGGAAGTGGAAATAAGGTCAACCATAATCAAATTGCATAACCATTAAACAGTGGGGTGAATCAAATGCTGAGGGAACAACCACAGGTCCATTACACTTTCCTTTGAAATGCCAAGTGGAAGAAAATAAGATGGAGCAAATTTAGCAGACTAGATCCAAAAGAATGTCTTTGTAAAAAGCTGCATGGAAAATGATCTAATGAGAATAAAGAGGAAAGTAAAGGCAAAACAGAATGCATTCTCACAGAGAAAAGAAATATTCTCAGATTTGAGAAGATATAGTGGGAGGTAATGATTGTGTGTGTGTGTGTGAGAGAGAGAGAGAGAGAGAGAGAGAGAGAGAGATTGTCCATGCTTTTTTAAGAAAGGGAGAATAATTTATCTCTTTCCCATGGCAGATACCTTCTGGACAAATCCACAGATAAAGTTGTCCCTAACTGAGAAAGACGAAGGGCAGGAGAATTGTACTTTCATCATAGCCCTGATGCAGAAAGATCGAAGGAAACTCAAGAGATTTGGAGCCAATATGCTCACTATCGGCTATGCGATTTACCAAGTATGTGGGAGCCAAACTGCTCTTCACAACCCACCATCTGAATTTAAATTCTCCATTCCTCCCTTTCATGCTCCTAAATCTCAATGGCTAGACCCCAAACTATGTCCAAAAGCCAAGAAGAGTGGCCCTCTCTAAAGTAAAGCTCTTGCTTTTTCACTGCAGAGCCCTGGCACAGATGAACATCTAAACAAAGACTTCTTCAAGTACCATGCCTCACAGGCCAGAAGCAAAGCTTACATCAACCTGAGAGAAGTCTCTAACCGGTTCCAGTTGCCTCCTGGGGAATATATCCTGATTCCCAGCACTTTTGAGCCACACCAGGAAGCTGATTTCTGCTTGAGAATCTTTTCAGAGAAGAAAGCCATTACCCAGTGAGTACTAGATTTGAGAACCCCTTTTTATGCTCTGGTAGCATAGTGGCTAAGGCACTTGACTGCTAACCAGAAGGCTGGCGGTTCAAACCCACCAGTCACTCCTCAGAAGGAAGGTTGGGCAATCCTACTTCTGTAGTGATACTGCCTCGGAAACCCAAGGAGGGGTCGCTATGAGTCGGGGCCGACTTGATGGCACACAGCAACAACAACAACAACAACTTTTATGTGGTGGTTCATTCATAGAGACTCCACCAAGGTGTGGGCACTGTGGACCTCTTCTTCCTTTGTCCATTGTCTGCCTGGGAAGCAAGTGTGTTTCTTCATCCATTTGCAAATGGAGTACATTTCCACATTAGCTTTGCTCCTCCTCCTCTCAAAGAGACCATTAAAAAGTTGGTCTCCAACTGCTCCCAGAATTGTACTCACTGGGACTCAGGTGGAGCCCTTCATTTTTCAGGCCCCCTTACCATGAAGTAGTAGCCACATTTAGGAATGCTTATATCTGTGCACGATGAAAGGAATGCCTATCACAGTTCTCAAGAATAGCATATTTTTTCAGTTCTAATCTAAACAATGTGGACAGGTCTGCCTACCTTTTTGCAGGTGCACATTCTGCCACCTCTTCCTCACAGTTTTGCAAAATTATTTTGTATCAGTTACTTGTGTGGAAAAGATTAACTATTATTGACCATCAACATTTATTGCTCTGTGACAGAGAAAAAATGGTCAAGATACAAGAGTCCATTTATATGCCCAAGGGAGACATTCTAGGGATTCCAGAGAATGGCAAAACTTGTGCCTTCTGCATGTAAGCTAGATACATCCCCAATGAAGCGCTATTAACAAGATAGAGGCAATTATAAGTAAACTGTCTGCTATAATTTTTTTAATTGAGATTTGGGTGAAAGTTTACAGAGCAAATTCATTTTCCATACAACAGTTCATACACATTTTATTTCATGACATTGATTGCAACCCCCATAGTGTAACAGATCTCTTCCCACTTCCTTCCTGTGGTCATCTTTTCCCTGAGTCCTTCTTTTCTATCCATTCCTGCCCTTTGAGCTATCTCCCTTCACCAGTACTACCCCTCTTATCTCCCATGGTTGATTGCTCTAAGGAGTGTACATACCTGGTATACATGATCACCAGATATGCCTATTATTTGACTGGAAGCCATGAGAGTAAGTTCAATGCCAGGCCCAAAGATTAACTTGGGGCCACAGTCTCAGGGGTTTCACTAGTCTCTATCAGACCAGTAAGCCTGGTCTTTTTCATGAATTTCAGTTTTGTTTCACATTTTTCTCCCACTCTATCCAGGATCTCCTACGGTGATCCCTTTCCCGGTGGTTGACAATGGTAGGTGGACACTATCTAGTTCTTCTGGTCTCATGGTCATATAGGCTGAGGTTCACATGGTCCACTAGCCCCTTGAACAAATTGTGTCCATGTGTCTTTGGTTTCCTTCATTTTTCTTTGCCAGCTGTTGCATCTTAGATGGCTGCTTGCAAGCTTTTAAGACCCCAGTCTCTACTCAACAAAATAGGATGGAGAACATTGTTTTTGTGTAGTATGTTATGCCATTTGAGCTTGATGTCTCCCATGACCATGGTCCTGAGACCATGGGCTTAACAACTTACTCCCTTGGGGTGTTTGGCTGTGGCTAAGAAGCTATCATAACTTTGCTCTATTAACTCTATTATATATATGGACATTCTTATCATCTACTATAATTTTACCTTTTATTTTGTGGATAGAATTGGACTGGTGGTGTCCATTGAGAATAGTTCAAATTCCAGCTTGATTGAGTTTCTCAGGCAGATCAAAAAGTCATGGTTTTTCCCTTGCACTAAATTAAAGCAGTAAAGCCTTGAATTTTTAAAAACTTTAGAGGAGAATTTTTCTCCAGCCTTCCTTGACATGGAAATATAAGCTGAGGATGAATTTCCCAGAAAAGCATGAATTTCACACAAAAGCACCACACAAGATGCATGAAATTTGGCATCTCTTGTGAGTAGCAAGAGCAAGAAACCTAGTCTATGTCCATCCTACACACCATAGTGTCCATCCTCTTAATAGAGTGAGGTCAGAGCCTCTGGCCTGTGTAGATAGCTTTTACATAGAGACACTGACTCCATGTTCATGCTTTTCTGACTAAGATCCTTTAGTCTGCTCAGATATTAACCTATAAGAAACAGGGTTGTGCCTCAGGAACAGAAGATCCACATTGAGCTGACTGGTTTAGCTTTCATGAGAGAGTCCCAAACAAAAGAAAATTTTGAAAAGTTTATAGTGTGTGTGCCCAGTGGATGAGGAAGAAAGGGAGGACTATTCGAGTTCAATCTTCATGTTAGTTGCTGTTGAGTCAGCTCTGACTCATGGTGATCTCATGTACAATAGAATGAAACACTGCCTGTGTTCTGGTTACCTAGTGCCACTCCGACAAGAATATACCACAAATGGGATGGCCTTAACAAATGAGTTTATTCTCTCACAATTTGGAGGTTTTAAGTTCAAGTTCAAAGTGCCAGGCTCTAAGCCCTGGGTGAAAGCCTGTCAGCCTTTGGCTTCAGCTCTGTCTCCAGCTCCCAGCCCACTGAAGCTAGAGGAATTTCTTCACTCAGACAGCTGCTGGCTGCTGAGGCTCCCGAGCCCAAGGTTGACAACTAAAAAGGCACAGTCCCGATGTTATCAAACCACACGGCAGACCATTAATTCAAGTTCATTGCAAGTCCCAAGCTCAGCAGAGCATGGAAAGCTGCTGAACAATGGCACAGCTGCATGCAGGGTCCAAGCATGCCATAAGCTAGAGACCATTCCTCAAGGCTTCTGCTTATATACAGGAAGCAGACCACATTCCCTAAGGCAGCTACTTAGCTGTTCACAGTAGATTCCACCATGGAGTTGATTACCATCATGGGGACTACTACATCCAGCTGCCTAATCACTCAACCAGGCCTAGCTAAGTTGACACACAAACTGAACTACCACAGCTTGGTCCTGCATTATCTTCATGAGCATTGGTATGTTCAAGTCCATTGTTGCCACCACTGTATATTTTGAGTGCCTTCCAACTTAGGGGACTCATCTTCCAGCCTATACCAAACAATGTTCTGTTGTGATCCATAAGGTTAATTTTCAGAAGCTGTTCTCCAGGCCTTTCTTTCTAGTCTCAGTTAGTTTGGAAGCTCTGTTAAAACTTGTCCACCATGGATGAGACTGCTGATATTTGAAATACCAATGGCATAGCTTCCAGCATCACGGCAACATGCAAGCCACCATAGTATGACAAACTGACAGACAAGCAGTGGGGTTCAATCTTAATGCCTGTTTATTCGTATTCCCTTTGAATTTTTATTAGCTCTCGTAGGGCTTTATGTTTGCATCTGTAAGATTGGATTCTTCCAAATTTTTTTTGCTTTGACCAAAGCTGAAGCTGGCTCTTCCTGTCATTATTATTACTACCCAAGCTCTATACAACTCAACTGTCAGTTTGTCATACTGTGGTGGTTGTGTGTTGCTGTGGAGCTGTAAGCTATGCCACTGGTATCTCAAATAAAAGCAGAGTCACCCATGGTAGACAGATTACAGCAGAGCTTCCAGACTAAGACAGACTGGGAACAAGGATAGGGCCATCCACTTCTGAAAAAATTGGCCAGTAGAATCCTTGTGAATAGCAGTGAAACACTGTCTGATGCATTACTGAAAAACTTTCTAAATAGCTCTGAAACATTGTCTGAGATACTGCCAAAAGATGAACCTCTCAGGTTGGAAGGCGCTCAAAATACGACTGAGGAAGAGCTGCCTCTTCGAAGTAGAGTTGACCTTAATGACATGGATGGAATAAAGTTTTTGGGACCTTCATTTGCTTATGGGGCTGCTGCCAACATCCATTAATAATCAGAACATGGAATGTATGAAGTATGAATCTAGGAAAATTTGAAGTTGTCAGATGTGAAATGGAATGCATAAAGATTGCTGTCCTACACATTAGTGAGTTTACATGGACGGGTATTGGCCATTTTCAATCAGGCAATCATATGGTCTACTTTTCCAGGAATGACAAATTGAAGAGGAATAGTGTGTCATTCATTTTCACGAAAAAATGTTTCAAAATCTATCCTGAAATGTAATGCTGTCAGTAATAGGATAATATCCATATGCCTACAAGGAAGACCAGTTAATACTACTATTACTCAAATTTACTCACCAACCACTAAAACCAAACACGAAATAATTGAATATATTTACCAACTTCTGCTATCTCAAATTAACCAAACATGCAGTCAAAATGTGTTCATTATTATTGGTGATTTTAATGAGAAAGATGGAAACAAAAAAGAAGCATCGTAGTTGGGAAATTATGGCCTTGGTGATAGAAATGATGCCAGAAATCACATGATAGAATTTCTTTTTATTATTGTGATTTGAGTGAAAGTTTACAGAGCAAATTCATTTTCCATAAAGCAGTTCATACACGTTTTGTCTCATAACATTGATGGCAATTTCCCACAGTGCAACAGCTCTCTTCCCACTTCATCCCCATAGTTACCTCTTCCCTGTGTCCTTCCCTCCCATGAACTCCTGCCCCCAGGAGGTGTCACTATGCATACACTGCCTTTCTGTTCTCCCATGATTGATTTCTCCAAGGAATGTATCTACCTGATGTAAATGTTCAGCCCATTAGATGGTCTCTTATTTGGCTGGAAGCCACAGGCTGTTGTTGTTGTTAGGTGCCATTGACTCATTTCCAACTCATAGCAACCCCATGCACAGCAGAATGAAACACTGCTCAATCCCGCGCCAGCTCCATGATCCCTGCTATACTTAAGCCTATCATC